TCTCCCTCTCAAAGAAGGTTGCCCTGATAACAGGTATAGTTGAGCTATTAGCATTTTGAGTTTAGTTTATTTGAAAATGCTTACATCACTTTTTCATTGCTTTTCGTATCCGAAGAGCCCCAGCTACGATTGTGGTGTGTAACTCGTTGACTTTCGGATTGCAAAACGGCTACTCATCTTCAAACACACTTTTAGCATCCAAAGGTAAACCTAGTGATTCAGTGGTGATCACAGCTCTTCGGGGCACACCTCGATACGGTTGTATTTCACTAAACCCTTAAAATTGAATGGCCAAAACCTATTCTGTCTCCTGAATAGTATCCATTTCAGGTGATGCTTGGTCTCAACTGGAAATAGCTGCACATTTGGGGATTCCAGTTAGATTGAGTCGTGAATTTTTTTACCTGAGGTTCAAAACGGCAGGACCCACTTCATTAAACCTTTGTTCCGGGATCACGGATCACGTGAAAGAACTGGGGAGTTCCCTGACGAGAACACTGTTCCCAGTTCAGCGTTACTTTTTCAGCAAGATTATCGGTTGAATTTCCGACAGTGTGAAAACAGTTTGAGTTCTGTGAATGGGCCATCTTCTTCATTACTTATTGGTAATTTGCTAGCTTTAGTCAGTTGAAGGGGGAGATATTTAGGTTTACTTGTTGGTAGGACGTGCTGAGGGAGGTGAGGCGTCGCGTATTTGGTAATGATTCAATGGAGAATTCGTTGTCCCATCGAATTCAGATTAGTCGGCTCCGCTGGTTAGGACACGTATTGCGCATGTCTAGGTATCGTCTACCGCACCGCGTCTTATTCGCAGTTTCGGCTTCAGATTGGAATAAACCACATGGAGGTCAACGGATGCCTTGAAGACGAGGCACAGGACAATTAGGTAGAATGTGTCTCCCGTCTTCCAGGTTGGGGTCCAAAAGACTGCAGTTGGCTGGTTGAAGACCCTGAGGAATATGGCAGCAAACCGCCAACAGTGGAGTTCTTGTCATTTTTTATCAGGTCAGAACGAGGTATGAGTGCACAGTTAGGTTGTACACTCTGTGTGTTAACCATAGAGGTTCACTTTCTTTGTCTCCCTCCAATTAGGCTCAATTCCTCTCCATTTTGTACTTTATCACTTATTTTGTGTACATTGTGAGCTTGGCAACGGTCAGCGAAGTTCGCTTCACTGTATCTCGCTGTACGACGATAATTAGGACGTGTCGCATGGCTTATGGAAGGAATTTCCTCGGAAGAATTTGTCGGAAGATGAAAATGTGGTGGTCGCAGCCTCGCTCAGTATGGTTTTCATGCATGCCCCCCTTTACGTGCACCACAATCGACAGAGTATGATTGCAGCGAGAAACTTGGAGGTGACGTTACTGAGGTGGTTTTTATCTCCTTGTAAATCGACAAGATAACAGATTCACGCTTGTGTGCTTTTCTATACTTTCCAGGGGCACTGTCGACTCCGAAACTAAGACTGAACATCATCCTTAGATGTGGATGAAGATAAGCTATCCGGTCCAGAAGCCTTTTACCTTTCGAAGCCCGTGAAGGGTCGTGTGTACACTGCAAATGTCCGTTAGTTTCTCTTCTGTGGTGTAGATACATAACCGTAAAGGTGAAATGTAATGCCAATCAGTGTTTGCGCATCTTTGTTTGAGCCAAATGGCGAGTCTCGTTAGAAAACCGGATAGGCAATGCAGAGGTTTCGATACAGAGTTTTTAATTGTGTTCGCGCACTGATGGTTGATTTCCATAGATTGCGGTGGCTGATGCATCTAACGCATGTCACCAGGTAGACTTCCTCGGCATGGAGGTAGGCAGCGTCTCTGTCTTCCTGCCGAACACCTCACCTAACCCATTGTGGTGTTATGTAATTCACCACTGGAAGTCCCGGGTCTTGCGTCGCTGGATTCCATCAGCGAGTCCTCGTGCATATCCTTTAGACTGTTTATCACACAATCTTGTGCAATAAATGCTACTCATAGCTCGACTCAAAAGACAGGAACGAAAGCCGCCGCGCAACTGCAGGGTTGATGATCGTGAAAATCGACGCTGAGATAGAAAACTTCGCCATAGATTGCAATTTTATGATCCTCTGTCATCTTTTAACTTCCCAGGCAGCCTTTGTATGGCCGCCACCCCCTTCCTGAAAGTTGACTGTACATTTGTTTATTCAATAAATAAAAAGGACATAAAAAGACACGGAAGGCATAGCTAATGCTCGCTTCAAACGACATCATTTATAGAGGGATTCTGTTCAAGAAATGTGCCAGAAATGTCCTCAGTTTTTCATTTTATAGGTATCAGATACTGGGGGCAGTGCAAGACATCGACAACTCGGTTTTTTGGCTTTTGCGAAGAAGTTAGCGTTCACATGCTAATAGTTTTCGTCCATTTTTAAACGACCGTCTATCGGCACCGATTTGCGAAATCAACAGACTGATTCTGTCTTTGATTTTCTCTACGTTCTTCGTGCGGTATAATTTTTAATTATAGGGCTTATCCGTCTAACTCGATTCATATACACCGAATAAAAAAGGTGCTCGGAATTGAACTTTGCTGATTACTGTCAAGCTCACGATATACACAAAGTAACGCAACGTAAGACAGATGGAAGGTTGATCGGTTTTGAAAGATGAAAGAAGAAAATGAGTCCCTCAGATCAACACAGAGTGCATGGTCTAACTGGTTATGTATGTATATTTATTTCAACA